CAGCAACACTTCTGTTTTATATACTCATTTATTGAGCTCCAGGTTATGCTGTCTAATTGACACCACTCAATAAAGCATAAGTGAGAATACATATTTTGCAAAGATCTCAAGAAAGCACAACTTTATATAACTTTATATAGGAATTCCACATTTTCATTGTCTTTTGTGAGTTATTCTTATGTCTGTGATGTTATAAGACATGTTTCTTTGTTTTGTAGCATTTATTATAACTGAAAAAAATGTTAAAAGAAAAAAGTGAGACTTCCTGTCTTTTTTTGTTTCCTGTCTTTTGTTTATAAAATAATTTTTTATTTAAAATTCTTAATGTTAAAATGTTCTCTTTTTTTATAAAATAGTATTTTTATAAAATGTATGCTTCCTCCACTCAATTTGATAGGTACAAATATGTGCAAAATATTGAAGTAATATAACATATAAATCATACTTTAATCCTTTCATGATAGTATTTAATATGCAATTGTTACTAGTCATCGCTTGAACTGATGTCACGTTCTAATTTGAGATAATCGTCTTGATGTTCTGAGTTCTGGTGTTAGAAAGAGAAAGGCATGCCCCAAAGTAAAGGTATGCTTTTTGAATAGTGTTGGATAAATGGAGTAAAATTTAATATCAGTTATGCTTTAAGCAACATTTGACACACTCTTCTCCTTTATAACTATGCCATTCTGTAAGACCCTACTGATTATTTCCTAAAAGAGAATGTTAAAAATCAACAATTTATATAAGACTGTGTTATCTGATGATTATGATAGTGATAAGAAAGTCAAATTTATGTTTAATTATCATGATGTAGTTTATAAAATTGTATCTGTATATATTCACTCAATTGATATCACAAGATACCTCTGGGCTAGAAGAGGATTATACTTTGTTTATTGACAAAGTTGAAACTTAGGAAATTGGAGAACTTTTCAGTAAAAATACCTATGGATCCTGGAAGCATTTTGAAGCAAGCCAATGATGTCGTGGCAGCCGCCAGAGTAGAAGCTTTGAGAGAGGAAGGGTTGATGGAAAGTGATTTCAGTCATTTTATCCCTGCAGGAGTGTGAAGAAGAATTGCAAGCTTTGGACCTGAGACCCTGCATCTGTTCTTTCAGTGAAGGTGTGGTTTAGAAGAGTGTTCTGATAAGCACAAGGGAAAGACTAAGTACATGTTCTAACTGGCATGGCCTCTGAATAGAAAGATAGTTTATGCTTGGAAATTATAATCATAGAATTGCCCATGTAGGAATTCAGAGTTTGAATAGCTCCATAAATAGTCAGAAGAGCAATAATGTGAAAAATTCAACATAAATATAGTTCACTTTAGAGGTCAATGAAATTCTTATGATCTGTGAAAAAAATAAAGAAAGACATTTCTCTGGTAGGCCACACCCTTAAAAATGACTAGCAGGATTTTAACTGATTACATTTTAAACTCCCAATCAAACTCACAGAACACATAGGGATCCTACAATGAACAAAAGTTAGCAGAAAAAATAAACTGTAGATTAGCCTTTTCTTTTTCACTTGAAAAAGTAATCAATCCATTGGATAAAAGTTATTAAGTGAATATTTTTAAAATAGCTAAATATCCAATGTGAATAAAAATAGATAATATTATTATCAAAAGAGAAAAAACCAGATGAGTTATTCTCTCAGGAATATTTTCTCTTCTGTTCTGTTCCTTCTGTGTACCTTCTGTTAAGTACTAATGAAAACCTGGGCGTTTTCTATAAAGCAAGTGTACCAAGTCTAAGAACCGGAAAGAATAGAAGACACTGGATAGGAACTCACGGAATGACCTGGTGGTAAATTCCCTGCATTTTCTTTTTACTCTTGTATGCTGGACTTGGAAATGAAGAGACTACCAGTTTAGAAATATCAATGAGAGGAGAAAGAGAGAGAGAGGAAGAGGAGGTGGAGGAGGAGTGGTAGCAGCAGACAGAAAAGGGAGAAAGATAGAGGGGACGAAAGAAGGGAAGAAAAGGAAAAAAGGAAAAGAGAAAGAAATACCTACTCTCTCTATCCATAGGACTAGGAAAGTGGCAGCAAGGCATAGCATTTGTACTGGAAACACTGCACTTCAGCCAAACATCAAAGAGAAAACTTGGGTCCCTACCCCACTCAGAATAGTAAAGACCCTTGTGGAGACCCTTGACTTCTACTTGTCCTTCATACCAGGCCCAATCTCCCTAGCTAGCTGTGGTAGGGTCAAAGAAAGTCAAGCTGGAAGCCAGGACTGCACTCCTATGGGGTCAGTGGAGGCCACACAGTTGGTAGTAACAAGACATTCTTATTACTGCCCATCATGGAAATATCACGGAGAGTCAGAACTCTCATTATCATCTAACAGTAGTAAGGAGCCTTTCTCCTTGGGTACCAATAGAGGCAATGGAAAACCTGGCTTCTAACTCCACTTTGCACAAACAAGGCAGCATTCTCCCAAATCCCAGCCAGACTGGTCTTAAAAAAGAAGCCAGCTAAAATGAAGGTTTAAGTGAGGTCCAGAGTCTAATAATAGTCAAAATATCCAAATTTCAAGGGGGAAAGATCATGATTTATTCAAAGAACCAATAACTCTCCCCTTGATAAGAAAAGGATGAGAGATGTTATCTGACACACATTTTGAAGTAGTCATTATAAGAAAGCTTCAGTGAATAATATGAATACAATTGAAACAAATAATAACAGTTATGAAAGTCTCAGCAAAGACTAGAAAGTCTCAGCAAAGAAGTAGGAAATATAAAGAAAAACCAAATTGAAATTTTAACAATGACCCAAACCAAAAAAGCAATGCATGAGTTGAACCTCATAATGGAGGAATCAGTAAAAAGAGCCGTGAACCAAACGTGTTATCAGGTGCCGTGAAGTCAGTTCTAAATCCAGGTGACCAAATGTACAATAGACTCAAACGCTGCCCGGTCCTGCCCCATCCTCATGATTGTTTTGATGTTTGAGCCCATTGTTGCAGCGATTGTGTCAATGCATCTTGTCAAGGGCCTTCATCTTTATTGCTGCCTCTCCATTTTACCAAGAAGTCTGCACTTTTCCAAAGACTGCTCTCTCCTGACAACATGGCTGAAGTACGTAAGAGAAGGCCACACCGTCCTTTCCTCTAAGAAGCATTCTGGCTGTACTTCTTCCAAGACACATTTGTTTTGTCTTTTTGGCA